TTTATTTGTCTCTTTCTCTGATCTCTCTGTTAAACCCCCTGCTTCTGTTGATTTTATGCCCAGCTATTAGGCTCCACTAGTGTTTGGTGCATTACTATTCAGTTACAGAGAATTCTGCTTTTATGAACTGCCTCTACTCTGCAAGGACCTCAGTGCTACTGCTTGGGAAATGGATGTGAGGACAGCAACCTGCTTCTCTTGGGGTGACATCCCTCCTTTAAAAGCAGAGATCTGGGCAGTTTGGTAGTTCCTGGTTTTGTTTGTTTGTATGTTTTCTTTTCTGGTTGTGGAAATTCTGACTTATAAGAGAGCTGGGTGTGAGTGATTAGGCGATTTGGACCCAGTAATTTCAGCTTGCAGTGCCTCAGTTAGAGCTTCCACCCTCTAAGTGGGTGTTGATTGAGAAAAGAGCACCTTAGAACAGTTTACTACTCTTGCCTGAAATAGCCTTCATAAAAAGGGGGGATTGATTAGAAATGCTGGTGGTCTGCCACTCTGGGAGTAGCCTTAGACTGGAAAGTTGAGTGATAAGAATCCCCTTCATCTTGGTTGGACCTGCCTGGAATATAGCTTCTGACACACAGCGCCTGTTTGAGGGTGAGGAAGAAGATGGTTTGGTTCCAATGCCACCGATTTTCATTGTTCTTACAGAGATTTAGTAGATTTTCCTGGGTAAATGTTTCTACATTTGCTATATATTCTAAGGTCAATTTCCAAAATGTTAAATCGTCACTTAAAATAGTTTTTACATTATGTTTGTTTTCCTGAGAGCGTCCACAGAGCTCCTCATATCTCCATTTGGAAGTACTCTCTTCACTAATTTGTTTTTGAAGAATTTCCCACATGTAAAATCCTAGCTCTCACCTTTCAACTGCTGCAACTACAAGCTCAGCCTTCATCTGAAGAGGAATGAATGTTAAATAAGCAAGAATATATTAATATTTAAGGAAAATGTGGATTGGAAGTTGTTGCTAAAAATATTTTCCTTCCATCAGCCTTTTTCTAGTCCTTTTTAAAAGAGCAACTAGCATTCTAACAGCCTTCTCCCCAGTTTTCAGCCATCCCTCATGTTGTCTCGGTTGGAATTGTGAATTTTCTTCTTATTCCAAATAGAGATTTTAATCATAGATTATTTTAAATTATAGTTGTAAATGAGAAAAATGGGCTCACTGAGTTAATGACACAACATAATTCTCTGTCTTAGATTTATTTTTATTGATCACTTAGTATGTTAGTTTTTGCTATATACTCATATTTGTTCTTAGCCTGAGTTAGTCTCACATGAATAGAAATGATAATTCTCTGTTTAACTCATATGAATATATATCCTAATAAATTAAATGTTAGTATACCGTTTATAAAAATTCATCTTTTTGTAATTCATATCCTCAATTATGAGTTCTTTACTGAAGAAATTTTCCATGAAGTGATAATTTTTAAAATTCAGTACAAGTTTTACTTTGTCAAAAAGTCTTTTGTAGTTGTTTGACAGGATATAGTGGCTATCTCTGTGAATGGAAAACCAGTATTTGATAGACTTACTGCTATTTTAATAACTTGGAGGGCAAATGACTAGCAGATCAAACCAAAAGTGTCTTAATTCTCCATGTTACGATTATACTATTAAGAATGGCTTTGAAGTTCAATTCCCTCATTTAAAAATCTGGAGCATCCTTAATGATCCAGAAGCTCTTAAAACCACAAGCCAGAACTGAAATTCTGACTTATGTGTGATACACCCAGAGGTGTCACTTGATGAAGTCATTTATCTACTTAATTGGTCAAAAACTATGCATGTTTTCATTCTAATGTAAGGAATTTCCATTTAAACCAAGACTTCCCTTCTCTTACCATATTTTAGCAGAACAAAGAAATGTTCTTTGTGGTAGTATTGGATTCTTATTTGTAGTTTAACTCATCTGTCTCTCTGACAATATTAATGGAGGCATGTCATTAATTTCACCTTCATTTTTTCAGGTAATCAGTCATCTCTTTGTTGTTTCTTAGCCACAGACTGCAAGATAACCCTGGACAGTAATAATGCAAACTAATAAGGATTAATAAGGACCTAATTAGAGCAAAGTTAGTCCTACTTCTCTCAAGGCTTCCCCTAAACTTCCCTAAGCAGTATCCTTGTCTTCCTTTCACTCAGATTCTTGAAGCTAGTTGCTGTAAAACTAATATTTTAATCGGCTCCATAGCATTATTTCTTCATATTTAATTATTTTCTTCTACTTCTCTCCTGAGTCAAAAGGAAAACATGTTGCTGTGTCAGCTTCTATTTTTGTTATTAATGTACTTCTAAGACTTAATACGTGTCTAATGTGTGATTAGAATTATAAATGTTTTGTATATGTCTGCTTCTCTCCAGTCTTTAGAAATAAGTATATTTGGCAAGATTAATCTTTTTTAAAATTTCTTTTTCTCTCATAATCTTTAGTTGCAGCTAGATTCTTGGTTCATCTTGGTTCATTACCATAATATCTTTTTGATAAACAAGAAGGAATAATGGCTAAAGTTATTACTACAAGCTACTTGTATTCAATTTCTAACTCTATCTTTTACTAACTTTGTGACCATGAGCACAGATAATTAATCAATCTGTACTCCTGTTTTTCTGTCTAGAATTGGGTATTATGATACCACCTATCTCATAGGATTATTAGAAGAAACAAATAGGCCACATATGTGGTACATATAAAGCATGTGTATGCCTTATACGTTGCAAATAGTCGATAATATGTTTATGGTTATTCTTCAGTTTTAACCATTTCATTTCCATAGTTCATTCTCTTGGCTTATTACCTTGCCCCTGGGAGTTTCCTTTACTGCAAAACAAAATCTTCATAGAAACCTGATTTTTCCTTTAATTTTTGTGTATTTATGCTTTTCTTTATTGCCAAAATTTGAGAAAAATATTCCGTTTCCACTACTTGGAAGCTCTTAATTTCTTGTTTCTACTGCTTGTTCCTCAATGGACAAATGACTTTCTATATTCTTTCCTACTTAAATTCTCCAACAGTTGACATAATTGATCACATTTTTTTTTTCTTAACATGGCCACATTCTTTAAATTATGTGCTAGAGCATATTAAAAACTATCTTAATTTCTCAGATCACACCTTCTTCATTGTCTTTACTACAACAATTAAAATTGTTTAAATAATTGATATTATTATTAATAATTTATATGCTAAGAACTTTCCTATTTAATAGGGTAAGAGGGTCCCAGATAAATATCTTATTTCCTTCAAAGTTTATGGAATATTATGATAAAACAGAATGAGGAACTATGATGGAGAAGGCAGGCTACTTTATGGCAGATAGTAGGGAATTGGTTTGCTGAGACATAGCCGATATCAGGAGTTCTAGGAGAAGCAAGTTATGTGTTGGGAGAGAATAACTTCTAGTAGGTAAAATATCATAACCAAAGCACTGATCAAAAGATAACCTGTTGGAGGGCGTTGTGATGTGTTGCTCTGAAAAGAAAATAGTATAAGTTTAGTTAACTAGATAGAAAGAAGATTTTTTTGAAGACAGTTTGGAATTGGTGAAATGTCAATAATTGTGATAGGGATTATACATGTGATATTTGTATTTCTTACAATATTAAATTACAAGGTGTTTTTAAACCCAGTTTACAAATAAAAATATGAGAAACTATACAATAAAATAGAATATGAATTACCTGTCATCTTTTGGTTAGTAGCTTCTAACGACATCTGTTTATTTAATATCTATTACATGGCAAGATAATAACATGCATTTATTTATTTAATATCTATTACATGGTAAGAGTTATGCTGGGAGTCAACTTGTGCTATTTAATTCAGTCTTCATAAAATACCTTTAATGTAATAATCGGGTGAGTTTGTATACACACATGCTATGAGCATAAACATTTTGTTTCAAAGTCAACAACATGTAAGAAAAGTTTAAGGTTGACTTTAATCTCTCCAATTCAACATGTTGTATAGATTTGAACACAACTTCAGGAGAGCAATATGTGCTAGAGTATAAATAAGAGCCATACTTTGAGTCTAGAGATAAAGGCTGGCTCAGGATATTCTAGAAAATAACAGTCCTCCAAGAGGGAGACTTTCTAGAAGAAAAGTGGAAGGCGGTAAGATAATACTGTAAGAGATTTTCAAAACAGGGGATTGTCCTAGCATATGAGAAGTAAACCTTCATTGTCCAGGACGAATTCCCTCCATGGTTAACTTAAGCAAGGGAATTAGCCTCCTCAGTGTTTCATGAAGTGAGCTATAGCTTAAGGAAACTAAACCTGGTAAACTCCTAGGCAGAATATCAGGGCTGGGAGACATTGGGCTACTGTACGTCTGCAACCTCAGGACTTAGATCTCAGAGTTTGCTCATGCCAGGAGAAGAATTAATGTTGTATCAAAAGAAAAATATAGATGTGGCCAAATGTGAATGAAGAGTAAGCATCACCCGTTTTATGTTTTTTTAATCATCAAGCTTGGACTCCAAGAGGAGCAGCTGATTACTTCTCAATCATGTATGTCTTTTTTAAAATTTTGTTTTAAGTTCAAGGGTACAAGTGCAGGTTTGTTACATAGGCAATCTTGTGTTATGGGGGATTGTTGTACAGGCTATTTCAGCACACAGGTATCAAGCCTAGTACTCAATAGTAATTTTTCCTGATCCTTTCCCTCCTCCCATCTTCTACACTCTGAAAGGCCCCAGTGTGTGTTGTTACCCTCTATGTGTCCATGTGTCATCATTTAGCTCCCACTTATAAAGTGAGAATATGTGGTATTTGATTTTCTGCTTCTGTGTTAGTTTGCTAAGGATAATGACCCCTTGTTCCATTCATGTGCTAATACTCCACCACCAAATTATGGCTCTCTGAGCTCAATATCCGACCTACATTGCCATAGAATTTGTTGAGAATTTGGAAAATCTAGATACCTATAACTGCATATGTCTCAATGGGTTTTCCATGAAGTCTTTTCCCAGAAGACTCATTTTTGACTTACCTTGTCACTGTTCCTCATTTCACAGTAATTGTTGTATCAAGCAGGAATGGTGTGACAACTGTTGTGGTATAAAGCAAACCAAAAAATAAAAGATCAGAAAGTCACTATGGGAAATTAAAAATGTCCTCCTATGTCTACCTGTCCACCTAGTCTTCAATGACTTAAATGCTATACAACAAATGTCTACAGAAACTGGATCCTTGAAGCCCCAAAGAACTCAAGTGGTGAGTACTCTGAAAAGGATGTCATCAGTGATTAGATTGCAAGCATAGACATCACGTTGTTGTTAGTGGCTGTAGAAAGTTATATCCAAACACAAATAGATACCACTAAAGAGAAAACTAAACCCGTATTCCTGATAAGATTATGATGGGAAAAACATGTTTGGTGGAATATACCCCTGGATGATATATTGGTTTGAAAAGAATATTGGATGACTTATCCTATCGGGTGCAAACAAGCAGGTTCTTCTTTGATACTCCTCTTCAACAAGGACAACCAGTCTGAGACAGCATAGGTTATTCCAAAGCAGCCCCTTTAAAATCAAAGCAAAGAGCAGGGAGGCATAACTGTGTGAATCCCAAAATGACTTACATTGTATAGACGATCCACCCAAAAAGATAAAGGAAGTCAAGAGAATTGCTGAGAAAGCATCTCTAAATGGGCTACCTTTTCGAAAGACATGTCATTAGTATACTTTATAATTTAGGGGCTAAATGTGATAAAATTGATAGTCTTGAAACAAATAGTAGGATATGAGAAGTTCTCACAATAGGTGAAAGGATGGGTTACTGAAAAAATGATATAGCAAATAAGATACTATAACATTAGGGAATGACATCAATCATCTACAAAATGAAAATGAAGATTACCCTAAAATTTCACAGTATAGTTTATTAATATAATCGATGTGATGGGCTGATGCATTAGTTGTCTTTAGTTTACAGTCCCTAGATGCTGAGATGGATGCATTAGTTATCCATCTAACTGAACACTCCCTTCATCTCCACTCCCACTCCAATACATAATTCAAATATTAGAGGACAACCCTGAATACTACTGGGATACACAAGCACGATCATTGGACAACAGAATGTTGTTTGTGGCACAGGCCAAACATCATAGCATTGAATCCAGTGGATATTCAACATTCCTTATGTCACATAGGGTAGGGAGAAAATACAATTCTGAAATGCATGGCTCGAAAACAAATTGTGCCAGTCTATCACTCACTCACTTCCTATTAACAGTCTGGCTAGATCAGTTGCATAATGCTAAACATATCCCAAAGACAACTGCCCTCACAATCACAAGGGTTCATTTCTTCTTAGCTTTCTCTTTTCTCGGAATTCAGGTGACACTGTGGTGTCCAGAGTGGTACAGTTAAAGTGTTTGGGACCAAACTTAAACTTTTATATATCTTTTCATGCAGTTTATTTTTATTCCTCCAGCAAGACCTAAACATGATCAGGAAGCCTGATGTGTAGCCTGAACCAAGGAAGAGTGCTTACCCCGCTGGAGAAATGCTACTGTTTGGTTGGTGTTTAGTTTTCAGTTATGTTGGAAGGTGTACATTGTCATTATCCTGCTCTATGTGACCCTTCACTTCAGGATCAAAAACCTAGGTATATGGTCACTCTGCTGGCATGTGCATTCTTATATATGTGCAGATGGGAACAAATCACCTGGCATAAGACTGTATTGAATGCAAGATGCTGTTGGCCATCAGGAAAAAACCTAGGTCTTTCCCAAGGTGATTAACCAGGGCATATGTTAGACACAATGACAATTCTAAAGAAGGTGCCTCTCATCTGCCAGAAAATTTTAAAAAAGGACAAAAAATACCAGAAAGTACCAAAGGCAGGATAAAGGTTGTATGCTAGAGGTCGCACACTTGGATATCTTCAAGAATCTTGTATTACAGATTACCCTAAATTTGATACAATTCTTAAGACAGTGACTGCATCTGCTAGCCTGTTGAGATGCTGGGTGTCCCAGTATGTGGCAAAAATGCAGCTTTCAGCCATGCCAGTTTCTGCCGATGATACAACTCTTTCTACCAACCAGTACCTGCCAATAAAATAGACTGCTAATGGTGCATTGGGTTCCAGAATCCAAGTTTGAGAAAAATATTCAGACTGATTCCTTTTCCCCCTCCAATACAACAAATTCCCCAGACATTGGAAACTGCTTGAGAAGACTGAATTTGGTCCTAATCAGCCTTTTCTTGATCCTTGTCATAATCCAGTTTGTGCTGTTATAACAACAACAACAACAGAAGAGACAAACTGGGTAATTTATAAATAATAGAAATTTATTTTTTCACAATTCTGGAGGCTGGGAAGTCCAAAGTCAAGGTGCTGGTAGGTTTATTGTCGGGTGAGTTCCAGTCTCTGCTTCAAAGATGGGACTTTGAATGCGGCATTATTCGAAGGGGAGAAATACTATGTCCTCATGTGACAGAAGATGGAAGAGCCAAAAAGGGTGAATTCACTCCATTAAACCTTTTTATAAGGGCACCTATTCCCATTCATGAGGGAGGACATCTTATAACCTAAGCACTTCTTAAAGGCCCCACTCTTTAATAATATTACTTTGGCAACACTTGGATTTTGAAGGGGACACATTCAAACCATAATACCTATTCTGCAACAATACATTGTTTAGTTCCATACAGCACTTAGGTCTGTCATGATGATATATGAAACTTTCTGAACTGAACTACCTGCTCTCCTGAACTCTTCTGTCTATGAAGACAAACAGACTTTATTTGTTTATATTGACTAAATATGGTCTGTACCCCAATTTGGGCACCTGGATATTTCAAGATTTTAAAGACTTCCTTCCAGGACCTCATATTTATCTGCTGGCTAAGACTAAAGAGTGATTTTCCTGGGACGGGAAAAGGCCATTGGAGACTGTATTTTATAACTACAGACATGATCCCTTTCCTGGGTGGGCATAATTGACCTGATGACCATAATATTTGTCAGCTACAAAAGGCTAAATAGCCATGGTTTTCAAGCAAAATTTTGTGACTCAGCATATTAATTTGCTTTCCTTGGCAACAATACGAGGGAATAAAATCACGCTTAGCTATTTGTTAGCCCCAAAGCAGGAATTTGCATTGATCAACTCATCATGTCATGCACAGGTTAAAACAGAGTGGCCAAATAGAAAAGTCTATCTCCTGTACGTAGAAACAGGCAGAAAATTCTCTTAAGCAGCTTGATCAGTACCTTAACATCTCATTGCTGGGTTAATCAGGGCTCCTTTAAAAAAGAACTTCAGGCATTACCCACAGGCTTCTTTTGCATATTAATTATTCTTATTATCCTCTACTGTCTCATTCAGCAAGATCAGCAACTATCCTCACAACCCCTTAGGATTTAGATGATATGATTGCCCATTAGGAAGCTACCTTTTATTAAGGATGATGAACTAAAAGATAAGGGTTAACTTATTCAGGTCTGACTTCTACAGGTTAGCCACTCAGTCATAGAGATGGCCAGGGCTCCCTACAGAGGCTTGTGTAATCATGGTATCACCAAAATCTTAAGGTAACTCACCTGGGAAGGCAGAGTATAGTCGGAAGTTACTAGACCTCTATGGCATGCTGCTACCATGACCTAGTTTCATAACCACAAAACCAATCATAGTAAGAGATGATCTAGTGTACTCCTAACATATGAACTCAGGAGTGCAGAGATGTGCATCGTCTTTCTACCACATCATATTTCTGTAACCACAGATGTGATCTCTAGCCCATTGCACGCTTTTGAGAGAGAGAGAGTTGCAATTCTTCTCCAATTGTGAAGTTTATAAGCATGCAGCCTAAAGACCATGTTTCATTTCCATAAGTCTAGCTCTATTGGTGTATTAGTCCATTTTCATACTGCTGATAAAGACATACCTGAGACTCAGAAGAGCCTCCACATGGCTAGGGAGGCCTCAGAATCATAGTGGAAGGTGCAAGGCACTTCTTAGAAACCTCTGATAAATCCATCAGATCTTGTGAGACTTATTCATTGTCACAAGAATAGCACAGGAAAGCCCAGCCCCCATGATTCAATCACCTCACCCGGGTCCCTCCCACAACACGTGGGAATTCTGGGACATACAATTCAAGTTAAGATTTAGGTGGAGACACAGCCAAACCATTTCATTCCACCCATGGCCCCTTCAAATCTCATCTTCTCATATTTCAAAACAAATTATGCCTTCCCAACTGTCCCCCAAAGACTTAACTCATTTCAGCATTAACCCGAAAGTCCACAGTCTAAAGTCTCATCTGAGACAAGCCAAGTCCATTCTGCCTATGAGCCTGTAAAAAGTAACAAACTAGTTACTTCCTAGATACAATGGGGGTACAGGTATTAGGTAAATACAGCCATTCCAAATGGGAGAAATTGGCGAAAACAAAAGGGCTAAAGGGCCCATGCAAGTGCGAAATCCAGTGGGGCAGTCAAATTTTAAAGCTCCAAAATGATCTCCTTTGACTCCATATCTCACATACAGGTCACGCTGATGCAAAAGATGGGTTTCCATGGTCTTAGGCAACTCCGCCTTTGTGGCTTTGCGGGGTACAGCCTCCTTTCTTGTTGCTTTCATGGGCTGGCATTGAGTGTCAGTGGCTTTTCCAGGAGCGTGGTGCAAGCTGTCGGTGGATCTACTATTCTGTGGTCTGAAGGACGATGGCCATTTTCTCACAGCTCCACTAGGCAGTGTCCCAATAGGGACTCTGTTTGTGCGGTCCCACTCCATTTCCCTTCTGCACTGCCCTAAAAGAGGTTCTCCATGAGGACCTCAGGGTCTCCATGAGGACCCTGCAGTAAACTTTGCCTGGGCATCGAGGGCATTTCCATACATCTTCTGAAATCTAGGCAGAGGTTCCCAAACCTCAGTTTTGACCTCTGTGCACTTGCAAGCTCAACACCATGTGGAAGCTGCCAAAGCTTGGGGCTTTCACCCTCTGCCATAGCCCAAGCTGCATGTTGGCCCATTTCAGCCATGGCTAGAGCAGCTGGGATACAGGGCACCAAGTCCCTAGACTACACACAGAGCGGGGACCCTGGGCCCTGTCCACAA